ATACCAAAACCTTCAGCTCCAGCTCCTGAAGTAAAGGTTTCTCGTCGTTCACTAGATCAGTTGCTTAGAGAATCCATTGAAAGGGATTACACACGAGTTCTGCAGTGGCAAAAGTGGCGCACTGCTCCTCTTCGGACCTTTCTCGAAACTTTTGAAGCAATGCAGGATGAAGAAGACTTTGCACTTGCATGGATTGGCACTGAGGATGTTTCAAAAGCTCTTCGGATTGAAGAAATCAATCGTGCTCTCTCTTACAAATTGACAAATCGCACTCTCGGGAGAGATAAAGCTCCAGTCTGCATCGAGCTCAACAAGCCACCCTTGGATCCAGTTTATGAAGAAGAAATGAAGCAACTTCGATATGCCATGTTGCTATCAAAGATCAAGACCTCCTTAGAGAAGGAACACCAAAATGATCCAAATTGTAATGTCAGTGGCACGAAAGATGAGCTTGGACGAGAGATTGAAGAAGACGAGAGCAATGAAGATGAAGATGAAGATGACAATGATGATGATGTTGACGATGCTGATGATGAGAATGATGACAATGATGATGATGTTGACGATGCTGATGATGAGAATGATGATGATGATGATGATGATGACAATGATGATCAGTTGGGTAATGAAGGTGCTCAAGAAATCGATCTCAAGGACAGTCATACCATCTTGATCGGTCCTGATTATGACACCTACCCTCAAAGATCTCCCTTAAGAAAACTACCATCTGACAGTGAAGACTCGAAAGAAGCTTCAACTACTCATCCCGAAGATCTATCTCGCGCTATTGTTCTGCATATCCAACCCATAGACGAGACTCCAATCAAGCACGGCAACGAAAGTATGCGTGAAGGCAAACTGGAAGCTTCACCAATTCCTCTTAGCTCTGCTAGTGGTGGAAAACGGGAAGCACCACCCCCAGATGATCACATGGACACATCACCAACAAACATTGAGGAAGAATCACCTGAAGAGTCCCCACGGACTATCATGAACCTCATGAGAGGAACTGTTCATTCAGCCGAGACCATCCATAGACAATATCTTGCTTTGCGAGAAAAAGACACGAAAGTTATGGATGATCTATGCAAGAAGGTCGATTTTCTGATAGCAGCACAATCTAAACCTCGATCTCCACCTCCAGCACAGCCTCAACCGCAGCAACAAAGCCAATCAGATCACAAGCTCCTTGAGCGGATGACAAAGAAACTTCATGATCTCGAAGCTTCTCTGAACAAAGTTGCGCGACAACAGCACGAACTCAAACACTCTCACTTTGGACTCAAAGAGCGTATGGATTTGGCCTGTACAAAGATTGACACATATCAGGACAATTCGTACCAACTGGGCGAATATGCACTTCAAATTCTCGGGTATGCTCAGGATATCTTGCTTGCAATCAACAAGGTCTCCTCCATTCCTCCCACCACCTGTGCTGATGATGCCAAAAAGGGGGAAAAGAGAAATGATGACAAAGATAAGGATGATGATCAGCCGAAAGATCAAGCTCGTGAAGCACGACACTCTCCCTCTCGGACACCAAGAGACTATGACCAAAAGAACACAAACCCATCTCATCCACCTTCCAAATCTCGTGGTTACCACTCCTCAAAGTCAAGATACCAGGGTCGATACCAATCCTCCAAACAAATCAAGCCGAGACAATATTTTGGATCCGAAGCCAAATATATCTTCACAGGGCTGTCAAAGAGAGAACAGACGAACTTAAGGCAGAAACTTATGAGAGACAACAAAGTAACTATGGATGGCATAGGAAACTTTGTGGACTTTGTCCCATATGAAGAAGGCAGTGGCAAACGTTTTGAGGGTTGCAATGTCTCCATCTGGCTCAAAACTAGGGATAATCATACAAGACAAGATCACATCAGCACCCAAAACGAGAGGATCAAAAGAGAAAATAGAGAGTTGTGGAAGAAGCACGATGAAGAAAGAAAGAGAAGAGAAGATGAAGCAATGGAAAGAGAAAGGGTCAGGAACCTCATTGAAGACCTCTCTAATGTAACCAAAGACTCCCCACAAAATGTCATGCATAATGTAGCTTTCAAAGTGCACAAGGAATCAGGAAAGAGCTACCAAGAAGGCATGAATTCGTTTGAATTGATCTCGTGGTGGAAGTATGGTATTGTTGAAGGAAGCAACATTCGGGAAGCCTACAACAATTACACTGGCCTAAATATCAAAGGAGAACATGAAGAGCTTGTCAGGTCTAATCCCATTAAAGTCTTCAGAGCAAAAATCAATGAGAAAATTGACTACAATAGGATGCTAAAGCAACAAAAGGAAAGGAATGACCAAGAACTCAAGGAAGCTCAACAACAGAAATCAAAGCTTTTAGAAATGTAAGTTAACTTTCGTTATGTTTCTGTTTACAAAGTTTTTGTAATGATTACATCTTATTATATGAAATTCTCATTGTCACACATCTCGTGTCACTTGTTTGAGTTATCTATCCTTGTCTCACCTATTAACGTTTTAATCTAGAAAAAGACTTGTAAACTCTCAAGTATGGCTGTTTTTATAATAAAAATTATCCTTATGGAACTTTTATCAGCCTTATAAGAAGAGTATAGGTTTTGGCATCATCAAAAAGGGGGAAATTGTTAGGAACATTGTATTAGGATTTTGATGATACCAATGTAATGTAGAAAAGTAAACCCCTAACCATTAGCTTTTTCAATTACTGCTTTCGTCCTAGACGAAAGTTGCCATAACTCCCTTGTAATTCGTGTTAAGCTAGACAAACACACGAAAATGAGTTATGACTAGATGTTAGGGTCTCCAAGGCGAAAAGAAGACACGAGAACAACAACAAGAATCAAACAGGAGTTGTCAACAAGCACGAAAGGACAGTGTTGGTGAAAGAAGATCTTTATCAAGCATTACCTCTCTTCAACAACGACAAGAATGATTCACCTGTCTGATTTGACAACATCCTAGGACAATAAGGACTTCACCTTATGGGACACACTTTTCAAGAAGCATTAAATGAAGATGTACCACCTCTTGGAGCTAAAGGACGAAATCCCTATGCTTCCCATACCTACAACGGCTACATGGTACAACCTCATTAATGGAGCATTTAATGCATGAAGCTCCCCGGTCCTTGTCCACTGGTTAAAAGGTTCGAAAATTTCATCTCCCTCCAACGGATGAATTTTCATCACCTATATAAACTCACCTTCATCAACTAAGAATGTGCTAGTTCATTATCACTCAATTCACTCACTTACAAAAGCTCCTGAAAAGTCTACAATTTACTAAAAGCTTTTGTGAACCAGTTTTGAGGTGTTAAGTTACTTGAAGAATCTTCTTACACCTCAAGGAAGTCTTGGCAACTGGTTGAAGTAATCATATTTCAGAGTCAAGACCTCATCGTTGGAAAATACCAGAAATCATTTTCTACCAATCTCAACTCAGGAGAAGAAGTTGATAGAGGTGGAGTAAACTCGAGGAGTTGAAAAACCTACGAAGGCTGTCCGGCTTAGTGATCAAGGAAGTCTTTGTGTATTTGTACTAAGAGTGATAGTGCAATCCTTCCAACAGTTGTGGAAGAAGAGTGGAGTAGGCATCATTGGCTGAACCACTATAAAATCTCGTGTCCTCTCTATCTCTTTACTTACGCTTTTCTATTTGCTTTCGTATCTTTCATTTATCATCGTTACCGAAATTTTGTCTAAATACGCAAACTCGTGCAAAGCATCTAAAACAAATCTATCTTATCCCCTGCGCCAAGACACCGAAAGGTGAAGTTTAGGGCTTCTAACGAAAAGAGTCTATTCACCCCCCCCCCCCTCTAGACTCTCATCTCATTCTATCGGGACCAACACAAATAACTTGATAATTGCTGACATATAAAATGATAGGTACAACTGAACAAGTATAGAAACTATCAATCAGGTACAAAATATGTCAACTATAGATACAGAATCTGACTTGATAGTTGCTGACACATAATATGATAGATACAGGTACATAAACTGTTAACTGCGTGGACAGAATGTATCAACTATATATACAAAATCTGAAGGTCATTTTTGGACTAGGGTCTACAATGTAAGGTAGACCATGGTATAGGGTATAATTTGCCATGCTATGATTGAAATTTTTATTTTAATAAAGAACCATCGTTTTCAAAGTGATATATATCCCAATTAACGTAAGTCGCCACAACTCATTCAAAATGTCATTATGTCAAATTGTCAAATATGTGAATATATGATAGTTCAAAACAGTTATTCGTCATCTCTCGTGTGGATCATCTGATCCCCTAATCGTCCGTACCACATTTTCTGTGCCTGGTTTTCGTCAATCCGAAATTTTTTTTTTTTAAAAAAAAAAATTTGACAAAAAAAAAAAAAGAAAAAAAAAAAAAAAAAAAAACAAACATGACAAATAAATATATGTTGACAAAGTATTTGTTACTTAAGAAAAAATATAATATTTTTAAGAAAAAATGTAATACTTTTAAATCAAAATGTAAAAATACTACATTTTCTAATATAAGTGATAAACATTTTATTCCTAATTAATATTATATTTGTGCGTATAAGTATTATATTTTTATATTGACCCGACCCGTCTCACGGTGAGATAGTCTCACACAAGTTTTTTCCCTTATGCTTATTTTCATCCCTACTTTTGAACATTTGAATCCAAAACACGAAAAAATAATTTTAAAATTCATCCTCAATGCAGTCAATGTGGAATATGTGTGCGTGCTTCCAAATACAAATTTATTTATTTATTTATTTATTTTTCTTCATTATTAATTATTTAGGTATTTAATTCTAAATTTCTAATTACAATTTTGAATCTAATAATGTTTGAACCAATTGAGCCAGTTTTCTTAAATTCACATGAGAGGGGGGAAAAGTCTTCCAATTCGTATATATCTTCTTTTGATCCATTTTTTTTTTTTTTGCATTATTTTAATCACACGCAACTCTTTCATTTTTCCCATATAAATAGGAACAACTAGTTAGGTTAACATATTCAACAATACATACAAAAATTTCAATCCCATAAATTTACATTATTTGATCAAACAAGGTGTAGAGAGCAAATATGGCCACCGTTTGCAAAGTTGGTTTCTTCACCATCCTTGTGTGTGGTACGCATTGTATACTCAACACTTATATATATTTATTCATTTATTTATTTATTTATATATATATAAGATTATTTTTTGAGAACATACCAACCAAGTTGGTACAGTTGACTTGGTAACCACCAAATTTCAAGTTCGACTCCTAGTGGAAGCAGCCCATTGGCCGCCTTAGTTTGAGCTAGTTGTTTTCTTGTAATCCTTTGCCGACTACGGTTACAAGGCGGATCCAGCCAAAACTATCAGGTTGTTAGCTTGGTAACCACAATGTTACAAGTTTGACTCCCTGTAAGAGCACTCTGTTGGTATTCTTGGTTTGAGCTAATTAGCGCTCTGGGGGGACCTTATTGCCTTACCACAAAGTTACAAGTTCGACTTCCAGTAAGAGTGCCCTATTGATCCTTCTTGATTTGTACCGGTCAGCCCTCCAAGAACCTTTGCTTGCTAGGCCGGGTTACAAGACGAACCCTGATACTTGATAGTGAATACATATTTCCTTTCGTCACTTACTCAACAACAAAAAATAAAAAATCTTCTTTTCTATTTAATTTATCAATCCATTCTTACTTAACCTTGACAAATAACAATACTCTATATACATTTTGATAGGTATTTTTCTATTGGGAAGCAATGTGGAATTAGCAAATGCTCAGACAGCTTGTCTGGAGGTTTGTGAACCTGAAGCAGCCTATATGATCTGCCCACCGAACATAAAGACTGAACCAGTCTGCAGCAATTGTTGTAAACTTGAGAACACTGGTTGCCAGCTCTACCGTTCCAATGATTCTCCCATTTGCACTTAAACCAAATAATCTCTACCATAATAATGTCTCAATCATCATATATACATGGAATAAGATTATTGTAATAAGACTTTGTAATAAGATTGAGGCTATTAGTATATAGTCTATTGCCTTCCTTGTAAGACCAGTACTTGTAGTTCTTGTTGTGATGTTCCAACCCCACTTTCGTAGTGTGGTTTTGTTATTGTTATTGTGAATGAAAACATTGGTTTTATACTTTTATTGTGAAATGTATATGAATAAATAATCATATCATATTTATGTTGACAAATTTTTTTAAAGCATTGATGGTTGATGGTTTTCTAATAGATCAGTGTCATCATAAACTAGATAGTTCGAAAAAATTCGACAATAAGTGAACAATTAAATGTAATGTTAATAAACGATACAAGACCCAAGACTCTTAAGTAGTATTGTGAAAGCGGGCCGGACCATTCGACCGCGAACTTAATTTCTGACGAACTTTTGCGGGCCAACCCACCAAGCCTGCGAGTTAGGGTTCATGCAACCCTAACTTGCCCCACGCGAGTTGGCGGATCTCGCGGGATGACACTTTTTTTTTTTCTTCTAAATAGAACTTTCCCTCAATTGACTGGGCGACAATGTCAGAAACTCGAACATTCGGTCTCCGATTAACTGTCTCAATGGATTATTCTCATTTCTCAAACTCTAGTATCCTCAAAAAAATTCTACCCAACACAAAAGAAAATAATAATTAAATGTGTTAGACATACAAAATCATATACATAATACATACGTGTAAAAAAAAAAAAAATACAATAAAATCTAACCTCCGTAATGGAAGTGATACAAAATGGAGCAACCTCAGATCATATTTATTTGCATCCCAAATTGTGGTAGACCTCAACTCCTATAGAATTGTAATAAATTAAAGTGATTAACTCTTACTTCATTTCAAACAAATTAAATATATAGATGGTGTTTATGTTGTAACCTAAGCAATCCGATAATCATTGACTTATATATATAGCCTATGTGCTCGGTAACGAAAACAATCATTTACGTTACAAACCACGTACAATATAATGGCCAAATTAAACTTCCACCATAATTTGAAACATTAATAGAAAATGTGGTAATATTTTCCCTAATAATATATAATATATATTATATATTATATTATATATTAGGGTCTTAATTAAGTGGTACAAGTTGATTAGGCTTATTAAGTGGTCTGGCTGGACTGAATAACTAGAAGTTGTTAGTCCACCAAACTCTATGCCTAATATAATCCTGGATTGATGGGATACAAGATGATTGATGATATAAAACATTTAGTTACGGTACTCATACTGCTTAGTATACACCAATACACCATCTAGGGTTCTGAGTTAGGTATGAGGCAAATAATGGCTAATGATCTACCGTTAAGAGGCAACACACCAGAAACATCAACTGTGGCTGGAAATCAATACGGCTACACTCGACTCTTATACGAGGTCAGATCTCTCGTATACTATTGTTCAGTATAGTTAAATTATTTAGTTCTAACAAATGTTATAATAAATATGACGTCCCATAGATACCAATCATACCATAATTTGAAACATTAATAGAAAATGTCATACTATGACTGGATCATGCTCAATAAAGGCAAAATCTCTCGTCCCAATGATCCCTACACCTCAACCTGACAGGACTATGAAGGGATAAATCACGATAACTTAGCAGTTCATTAAATAGTAAAACCCTTGCTTGGTGCCCACAAGCACCCTTACAAAAGGGTGAAACTTCCATACACTATATGACTATCAAGGTTCAGCGTTCTTGCACACAATCTACTACTCAGAAATAATCCGAACTACCCGTGCGGGCACTAAATTCAATTCTCACCTCGAGTGTATGCAAAACTATCCACATAGCCATTCCGGGGTAAGTGCTACTACCAATATTAACTTCTATTTCGCCCGTATGGGCAGCTCAGTTAGTCACAGAAGTTATGTTTGGAAACAATGACCGGGGGCTCCTTGTGCGCAATAAGCAAAGGTGTGGGAGCAACCTCTCAAAGTGAGGGGGGCTTCTTGTACGCAATAAGCAAAGGTCTAGCTCAAAGGTGTGGGAGCAACCTCTCAAAGTGAGGGGGGCTTCTTGTACGCAATAAGCAAAGGTCTAGCTCATGTGTTCAGTTGAGTTACCATGATTTCATTACTAATTAGTGTGCCTCTCTTTTGGGCGAGGGGGCTCCTTGTGCGCAAGGGCTGTCCCATACCCAAAGTCAAAGATCGAACTCTTGACCTTGGTTAAGGATGGATGAGTCCTTTCCACTCAACCAGGCCCCGGGTTAATGCGCCTCTCTTCTAACATAATAGAAGTCTCTTTGTTTTTTTGTTTTTCTGTTTTTTCCTTTTTAATGACGAGGGGAACTTGTTTTTTCCTTTTTAATGACGAGGGGAACTTGTAACCCTTACGAGAAAGTGTGCATGCATTAGCCTTGTGATGCTAGCTGATAAAAAAACACAAAGAGATAAATCAGTTTAGGTTGTTCAGATGTAGGTCTCATGTTTTAAGCCTTTGAAACAGTTATCTTAAAAATATGACTTATATTCCATGTTCAAAAAATATATGCTTCCTAGTGAAGCTCAATTCAAGGGTCAACCTCAAAGCATGAAAATTAATGGTAAAAAATCAAACAAAGAGGTAGCTTGTTAGAGGGCGCAAGATGTGGCTGTACGTGCACGTTTTGATAGCTACCGCATCCATAGTCTATATTGATTAATAAGTAAATATATATAATGTTTAATTTGACACGTTTATATCTTATTATCAAATTTGATTCTAATAATTAAATGTCAAAATTAATGGTCAAAAATCAAACAAAGAAAATTAAATAAAGAGGTAGCTTGTTAGAGGGTGCAAGATGTGGCTGTGTGCAAGTTTTGATAGCTACCACATCCATAGTCTATATTGATTAAGTAAATATAATGTTTAATTTGACATGTTTATACCTTATTATCAAATTTGATTCTAATAATTAAATGTCATAATATAATAATTTAATATTTTTTAAAGTGTCAAATTTGATTCTAATAATTAAATGTCATAATATAATAATTTAATATTTTTTAAAGTGAAAAAATATTACAGGATAAACTTAGAGTAAGATTAAAAATTTCTTGCCAAAAATTAATCAATAATTGAAAACCAAACAAAGAAAATTGTTTTCTACATGACTTGGGCAGAAAATATAACATAGATGGACTATTATACCCTCCAATTGTTATATCATGCACCAGGGCGCCCAATGCATTGTCCGCCTTAAAAATCCATGGTTTCGTATGTACATAGTTGTATAGTAGAATACTCATAAACTCCTAATATAATACACATAATCTAACATAATACATAATACACAAACTCCTAACATAATTCACATAAATTTTTAACATAATACACATAAACTCTTAACATAATATACATAAACTCTTAACATAATACACATAAACTTTTAGGGCACACAATGCAATGTGCACCTTGGTGCACGTTATAATTTGCCTTATACCCTCATAAAAGTTTCTTAATTACATAGCTATATAATAATATAATTTATTATCATTATTATTGTTAAGGGCATATTGATCTTTATGTTCATAATTCCTTACCTTTCCAAACCCATCCAAACGAAGGAATTCATATTCCAATTATTTACTTTTCCACCAACCAAACAATGTATCAATTTTCTTAAAATTTATTTTTCATGAAATTTCAATTTCATTCTTCAAAAATTTTTCAGCGAACCAAATTAAACGGGTTGTAAGAATCCAATTAACTTATAGTTAATATGAACAAAGTAAAACTTTAATTAACATTGCAATTGCAATATATTAATTGTTCATTTACCATTTCAAAGACTCAAACTATTAGAAGTTTCACTTTCTAAATCTAACGGTTGACATAATTTGAGATAAAATACGATAATATTATGATAATTTTCAATCTTCAACTTCAAAACTATAATTTTTAACACTAAACTACATTTCTGAATAAACTCAGAAACTCTAAACTCAAACCTAAACTAGAGATACTAAATGATAAGCAATAAAAGTGAAGCCATAAACCAAACTAAAAAGCAAAAACACTAGATAAAACCAAAAAACTATATCATAAACTCAAAAAGGTGTTACTAAGTAAACTACATTTTAAATGGAGCAAAAATGCACAGTATAGTGTTTAAAAGTGCACCGTATTTTGTTGAAAAGTGTACTTTTAATATTGAAAACTTTTATCAAATTAAAATGTCACCATGATTTTTTTTTTTTCTTTCATTGTTTTAAACTGTTAGATCTGACCACATAAATATTTAAAATTAATTCTTAACTTTCTCCCAATAACAAACTCTCATGATTCTTTTCCTATATATATTCTGATTTAATTTTGGTCCATCTAAAATGTCAAAAGTCAAACATAGACAAATGATGATATATATGAACTGGATGAACTAATAATCTTAAATTCACATTTGAGAGGAGGAAAAGTCTTTCAAGTCATATATATCTTCATTTGATTTGATCTCATTCTTTTTTTGCATTATTTTAATCACAAGCAACTCTATCTTTTTCTGCTATAAATAGGAACAAGTAGTTACGACAACATACTCAACAATACAAACAAAAATTTCAATCCCATAACTTTACATTATTTCATCCGAAATCAACGTATAGAGAGCAAATATGGCCGCTTGCAAAGTTGGTTTCTTCACCGTCCTTCTTGTGTGTGGTACGCGTTACATCCTCGACACTTATAGATATAAACTAATGTTTTGCCCGTGTGATGCACGGAAAACATTATGTTATTATTAATTTAAATAAAAAACCAAAAAAAAATTATGTTAAAATACAACATAATAATATATTTGCAACAAATGAGTCTTCCTTTTTCGTTTAGTTTATTGATACATTCTTACTTAAATGTACATGTATGTATTTTATAGGTATTTTTTTATTGGGAAGCAATGTCGAGCTTGGAAATGCTCAGATTTGCCCACAGTTCTGTGATCCTAGAGCAGCCTATATGATCTGCCCACCTAATAACAGAAGGACTGAACCAGTTTGTAGAAATTGTTGTCAAGTTGCAAACAACGGCTGTCAACTCTTCGATTCCAATGATTCACCTCTTTGTACTTAAGCTAGGTCTTTGGCGAGGTCGTATCACCGCCCCAAATGTTTAAATCAAGTAATCTCAACGATAATAATAATAATAATAATAATGTCTCAATCATCAATGTAGATGGAATAAGATTGTAAGACTCTTTTGAATAACTATGCACGATAGTCTATTACGTTCACTGTAATCAAACCTCACCATTGTAGTGTGGTTTTGTTGTTGTTGTTAAATGTGAACTGTTTGGGTTGTTATTACTTCTGTGAGGAATGTGCAAATGCTAAGCTTTATTGGTAATCGTTTGAGTGTGATGGTTATGCGTGTGAATAAGTAATTAAGATCGAGCAAGGAATTTATTGTCAAAGGAATTAGGAAGGAAATGAATTGTAATTCGGTTGTATTTACTGTCAACTAGATGTAATAGTTTGGGTATTTCGAAATGATCGCATTTACACGGGAGTAAGAATTTAGCTAGACATGAGTGAAGGAGATGATTTGACCTAGAGGCAAAGGTAGAATCAGAAGTTGAGACAAAAGGCTAGGGTCAATGGCAGGAAAGCTATGCAAGGGCAAGGAGAGAGGGGTGTAGGATCGTGTGTGACACTTTAACAATCGGGTGTAATCATTACAATATGACGCATAGATTTTATCCACAAAAGATCTTTGGGCCTCTGTATATTGGCCCGACGGGATTATGGAAATACAAATTACACTGATTTAAGAGTTCATTATGTGAGAGGACTAGTGTTTGGTGTTCACAAACACTTTTACAATGTAAGAGGGTGAAACTCTAACATTATGGTTGTCAAAACTCAGTTATGTGTCCTTATTCATAATTTATACCACTCATAAACAAATTGAACTACCCATGTAGACACCAGATGCAATTCTCACCTCGTATGTATAAATAACAATCCACATAGTGATTCCACATCAACATTTCTAAAATTCTGACTTACTATTGTTATCCCTAATTACCTTTTACCGTCAGTTTGGTTAGAGGAAATTAGGGAGTGTATTCAATCATTACTTTTATAGCCTTTTAAAATGATAGATTTTAATAAACTTTGATTGACTTTCATAGAGTCATTCAAAACTTTTTAAAACTACGTAAGACTCTATAAAAGTCTATATAAAAAAACATTTATAAATTTTAATCAACTTTTTTATTTTAAAAAGGCTACAAAAGTAATTGAAATTCTAAATTGAATACATCCTAACAAATTTTCAATGATTTCGATTTTTATCATTTATAATTTTCTTACAAAACATGTTATAATATATCATTAAAAAAAAATAGAGGTGCTAATGGTTGCAACCCCAATTTTTTGTTGCGAATAGTAATTCGCTATTTTGAGTAACATGTTGTTATATATATATATATATATATATATATATATATATATATATATATATATATATTACAAATATAAACAAAAAAATGAGAATAAAATCAAAATATATAAGTATTTATATGAATATTATGAAATATATAGTAAAATTTGACATTGATAGATGAAAAGTTTTCTTTATTCATGTATTTAGGGAGAATTCGAGAAAGTTTAGAAGTTACAAGAAAAGTTCGTAGAGAAAGTTTAGAAGTTAGGGATAAAAAGTTTGTAGAAAAAAAAAATATATAATCAAAATAAACAAGCAATAATGAAGTAAATTAAAAATTATATTATTTCAAATTTTTAGAGGAAGATTGTAAAGTTTAGGAGAGAGAAAAAATTGGTAGAGTTTAGGTATGAAGAAAATATAGGATAATGAAGAAAAAATAATTTATTGAATTTAGGTATAAAGTTTATAAAGTTTATATAGGGAGAAAAAATAGGGTTTGAGTGGAGAGAGAAAACATTCAGAGTTGGTAGAATGAAAATTTTGAAATCTTGGAGTTGATATATGGTTGGATTTCAACTATTTATATTTAAGAAGGAAAATTCTACAAAAGTCCTAAAATTAAAAAGTTTACAAAAGTTCATAACTTTTTGAATACCGCATGACTTTTAAGGACTCTTTAAAAGTCTTAATCGAATACCACATGATTTTTAAAGACTCTTTAAAAATTTTGATTGAATATCGCCTAACTTTTAATGACTCCCTAAAAGTTTAGATTGAATACCTCCGAACTTTTAAAGTTCATAAAAGTCATTAAAAATCTATGAAAGTCATGATTGAATACACCCCCCTTAGAATTTCACTCTCACCTAATTGCGAAGGTAAACAATTTCCTTTCTTTGGTTGGAGCTAGGGAGTTACTATTCCGCAGAATCACAATTCTCTAATTTTTATGGGATTAAAATCCCATGGCCCCTGGTATTTCAATTCTGCATTGATTGAGAAGAAAAAAAGATGTTATTGAAATAAAATTACACTTGTAAGTGTATAAATGATACACGTAAAAAATCCTTAATATAAATTGGCTAATTTAATTATTAAAGGGTTAGAATTATTTAATGTGAAATACTTTATGTTATACTCTTTGGACCATTTTCCATCAACTAATAATTAATTTGAATGGCTACAATTAATTAGTGAAATTAAGATTGAAAATGAAGGAAGTCAGCAATACAGTACACATTATGAGGCTTCCAAATCAAATGTGTGTTTGTGGTTCATTGAAGATTATATGATGCTGATTATGTGGATGTGATGCTAATTATGTGGATCAAAGTGGGATTAATATTTTACTATAAAAGGAAGCCACCCCAATGAGGAAAGTTGTTGATTTGGAACTACTATTCTCAGTGAAAGCATTCTCTATAAAGTTATCAAATTAATCTGATTATATTATTGTAGTCTAATTCTGGACTGCACAGACAGTACCTGGTACGTACAGCTAAAGCTTCGCTTGAAGATTGTTATGGCATGCACGGTTCAGTCCTGAATAGGTGTTAGGAAGGGTTGTAGTGGTAAAGGCTGAGAGCCATTTGTACTTACCTCTTGTAATACTCATTGGTGAACATCTATAGTGGATTGGGCAGACGTAGGTTGCCCCGCAGACGTAGGAGAAGCGCTCCGAACTGCGTAACAATTCTCTTGTGTTATTGTTTTATTTTATGCTTTCAATTTTCGTTATTTACATTTGATTAACAAATCTAATTAATGAACGCGATTGTTGCATAACATAAAATCAAGTAGAAATATAAGTTAAATCTTGCATACAAGATTCACGGTGCAATTTCAACACTTCTTATTTTTCTAACATAAACAAAAACCCTTTGATAGAAAATTACCCTTCTATGATATTTTTTGGTTGTGAGGTTATTATGCTTAACGTTGCATGGTTGAATAAATTTTGAGAGTTATTAAATATGTTCTAGTGATCTAAGTTTATATCCAAATTTTCAAATAATTGTATTGCATTATAATTTTGACATAAATTTACTTGTTATTTAAGATTAATAATGATTATGATTATGATGATAATGATAAATATCGACAGTTTGGTCTTTATACTACTTACTCCCTTTCAATTTTTATTAATACTAAACATTGAAATTAAAATTCTCAATTAAACCTAATATTGTAATTTAAATTCTCACTTCATTCTCATACTATTCATCTTTCGTAGCATTGCAATCCTTTTTCTACTGCACATAAATAATTCCGTCATATGCAACGTAACCAAACACTCCGTTAATGCTACTATCAATATTAACTTCTATTCTCGATCCTTAGCTTCGACTTTATCCACCCCAACTAACACCTTATATTGTACGTGTGCTATGTATGAAATTTACATTTTAATATTTTAATAAAGAACCATCCTTTTCAAATTACATTTTAATATTTTAATAAAGAACCATCCTTTCCAAAGTGATATATATCCTAATTAATGTATGTCGCCACAACTCTTTCAGAATGTCAAATTGTCAAATCACTATTGGAAATTCTAAAATTTCCGACCACCTGAAAGTGATTTTAAATCAAGTCGAAAGCCTTCTCCCGATCATTTTTGGTGTTCGGAAAAATCTTTGTTGCTATTTTCGACCACTTTTTGCTTTCAACTTAATTTAAGATCATTATCAGGTGATCAAAAATTCCATAATTTCCAGCAGTGACTATATGAATATATGATAGTTCTTGTATATTAATAGCTCGCAAACCACACAAAAAATGATAAATTGCACTAGAAAGATCCATGCAATCTGCTAAAAAGAGAATATATTAAAAAGAATCGGACTTGTGGCCTTCAAGTGCTTCATATTCATCAATTGGTTACTATAAAATACATTTAACAAAATTAAATAGGACCCATGGAGCGTGAATAAGATAGTGCACCTCTCTTCCAAGATAATAGAAATCTCTTTATTTTTTTTTTCTTTTTAATGAGGGAAACTCATAGTCCTTACCTAAAAGTATCACTGCTGAAAATTATGGAATTTCCGACCACCTGAAAGTGATCTTGAATCAATTCGAAAGCAAAAAGTAGTCGGAAATAGCAACAAAAGTTTTTCCGAATACCAAAAATAATCGGAACAAGACTTTTGACTTGATTTAAGATTACTTTCAAGTAGTCGAAAATTTCAAAATTTCCAGTAGTGTATACAAGCACATTAGCCTTGTGATGCTAGCCGGTAAAGAACTACAAAAAGACAAACTAGCTTACATGTTTTAAGCCTTAGAAACATTTATCTTAAAAATATGATCCTAGTGAAGCTCAGATCAATTCAAGGGTCAACCTCAAATATGATCTAATTTTCTTTGTTTGGTTTTCAATTATTGATTTATATCTGTTCTAATTTCTATTTTTGGCAACAATTTCTTAATCTTAGTCTAACAAAGATATAAACGTGTCAAATTAAACTTTATATTTACTTGTTCTAAAAAAAAAAAAAAAAAAAACTTTATATTTACTTAGTCAATAGACTATCGGATGTGGTAGCTATCAAAACGTGCACAGCCACATCTTGGACCCTCTAACAAGCTAATAAAGATTGAATTTCAAACTTAAGAATTCATCATCACTTTTTCAAACTTAAGAATTCATTATTCATCATCACTTTTATTTTGAAAACGAGTAGAGAAGGTGAATTGAATATATGCTTCACCATATCTACAGTACGTCTCCAAATACTTGAAAACTAATACTCACAATAAGGCCAAATTCATATTATCTTCTTTTTTTTTCTTTGGTCTAGCCTTAGAAATTAGTAGAGTAAGTACACACGTTTTAATAGGATGTAACTCAACTAAACAACCACAAAGGCTAGTCTTGTACTCACTGCGCACAAAGAACCTCCCTCAGTGAGAG